CTGCTCTGTCCCGAACCATATTGGCAAAGCAGCTCTGCCGCCAGCGAGCTCTGCTGTAGCTAAGTCATCAATGAGCACATACGATCCTCACAACATCCAGAGAGGATAAAACTCTTCTTGAAAGCAAGGACTCACAACCTTCTGGTTCTTTTAATCACCCAAAACAAATTATCTTAAAATATCACTGCAAAACTGCCTTCCTTTTTAAACACAATTTTGACAGACTGATATTCTGCCTCAGTAATTTTACACATTTCTAGCTAGCTAACAATATCCAACTCTTGCCTTTTAGTGAGAAAACTGCTCATCTCTTGCTACATAACATTACCATATGTTAAGTAAATAGGTAAGATCTTTATTTTTTTCTGAACTAGATGAAGAAACACACTTGCCTCCATTTTGCTTGCACTGCCAAAACTAAAAACTTAGAAGCTGATCCAAATTACATCATCTGAATTAAGGACTTGGTTTTAAAGTTTAGAGCAGTTGAGCTGCAGAGTTCTGCTTTGGCATCTCGCACAAATAGGAAGGAACAGCTGCAAAGTTCAAATCTGAGTCAATCACATACCACTGGTGTTTATTTTAAAAAGGTGTTCTACAAGCAAAGCACAAGAGACCCACAAGTACCTTGCAGCACTCTTGTGGCCAGTTGTCTATATCCCCGCCATGGTTTTGCCTGGAGACAGAGGGCTCATCCCAAACCTTGGAAACCAGCTTTCCTCCTTCCCAGCCTGGCTCTGTCAGCTTAAGAGCAAGAATAAATCATCTTTAGATAAGTGGCTTTTGGCTTGGCTTAAACAAACAACTGAATGGAAGGCCACACAGAGTGCTGAAACAGCCCCAATTTATAAAATAAATGCAGGCACAATTAGACCTTTTCTTCTAAAGTTTGGTATAGTCCAAAAGACAACTATGCAGAGGAATTTCTAAACTTTGTTTGCAAAACACAAGCTTGAGCAGCTTATAACTTAAAACGGGCAGAACCTGCAGGCCTGGTTCCCGCCTTCCCTGCCACGCTCGTTGCTGGCAGTTGCAAACACTACGAGACCACTGTGAACCCTGCGCATGCAGGAGCTGCTGTGACGACGCTTGCAGACCACTGTTTCAAACAAAAA